GTCAGCAAAGGTCAAAGGAAAAGTTTACAAGACAGTGGTGAGACCAGTTATGTTGTATGGTCTGGAGACAGAGACATGGACAAAAAGACAGGAGACAGAACTGGAAGTGACAGAAATGAAGATGTTGAGGTTCTCCTTAGGAGTGACAAGGATGGATAAGATCAGGAATGAGATCATCTGAGGTACAGCACAGGTTGAACAACTGGGAGATAAAGTTAGAGAGACCAGACTGAGGTGGTTTGGACATGTCCAGAGGAGGGATAGTGGTTTGGACATGTCCAGAGGAGGGACAGTGGTTATACTGGTAGAAGCACATACACATCACACACAGCGCTCATCAGATGTGACTCGACTCCATGTTTGACTCGTGTTTGCACTGCAGGCATGCGACCGCTGCACTACGCAGCCTGGCAGGGGAAGGCGGAGCCTATGAAGATGCTGCTGAAGGCGGGCTCGTCCGTCAACGGCCAATCAGACGAGGGACAGATTCCTCTTCACCTGTCTGCGCAGCACGGCCACTATGATGTGGTGAGTCCACTCTGCACTGTGCGATGCAAAGGTTCTAACAAACCCAATAACCTTAAAACTTCTCTTGTCTTCAAAAAGTCATTATGGTTCATGCAAAGGTTAATAATTAAACTAAACCTTGTTGTCCGTTCAATTACATACATGTTGCTGAAGAAATATTCAGATGGAAGAGCCTTCAGGATAAGGAGAAAGGCAGCAGCTAGAAGCTAAAGGAAGACAAACACTAGCTAAAAGTAGGAAAATGGTCGCTTGAAGCTGAAAGTGTCGAAAGGCTTCCAAAAGTTCCAAAATACCAGTTTAAAGATAAAGGAAACAAAATGCTAGCTAAAGGTGAGGTTAAAAGTTAAATGTACCAAAAGTCTAGACTGTAGAAGAAAAAGGTACCTAAAGGGAGCCAAATACAAAATACTAAAATATTAGCTAAAGTAGCAAAATGATAGCAAGAAGAAAAAAGTGGCAAATGTCTAGCTTAAAGTAGCAAAAGGGTAGCTAAAACCTAATTGTAGCTCAAAGCTAGGTAAAAGTAGCAAAAGAGTAATTAGAAACTAAAAGTTGCAAATAGCCAGCCTAAAATCACAAAATTACAAAATTATCCTAAAGCTATCTTAAAGTAGCTAACAGATAGCTAAAAGCTAAATGTAACAAAATATAGCCAAATTTTAAGCTAACATTAGCTAACCGTGCTGCGAGTAACAAAAGTTTAGATACAAAGAGTAACATGATAGCTGAATGTAGTAAAATAGTGGCTATATGCTAAAAGTAACATAATGCTAGTCTAAAGTAGCACTTTAGCTCTGATTTGTTGTTTTGTTTACTTGCTGGAATGTATGTGGGAATGTGCAACTTTTTATTGAGCAATATGGGCTTTTTATTTGTTTTTTATTTTATTGTGGTGTTCACATGATTTTCTTGTTTGTAATGTATTTAATTATGGAAGAAGCTTTGTTTAGCGCACAGTGTCCAAGACAAGTTTCCCCTTGGGGACAATAAAGTGCACGTCTATCATTTCCCCTGCTTTTCCTTGCTAAAGATCCTGTCACACTTGAACATTTTAGACAATTTATGCCGAAAATGGTGTTCAAGATGCTGACATATACTGAAAATGGAAATAAAAAATCAGCTGGAAGCCTCTTTTGGATGTAGACATACAGTATTGCTAATGAGTTGAACCAATATGTAACCTATGTTTAACATGAGTAACTTATCCATAACTTGATTCTAGCAGATATGTAACTTGTTGTATGTTGTGGAAATGTTTCATGTACATTACAGAGATGTTCGAGGTAAGTTGTTCACTGGTTAGAAATAAATTACTTATATGCTTCACAATTGCTCAGCTGCTTTCCAACACATCTGAACTTAAACATAACTTACCTGTTGCCTCCCCTTAACTTATGTCTAGCTTATCAGCAACATGTTGACGTACGCAGATAATTTTGTGCATGCACAAAATTTTAGGTTGTCATGGGCATACATGTGTAGATCAGTGTATCAGCGTGCTGGTAACTTGTTAAACACTTATACTTCACTTATGGGACTTCCACCAGCATGTTTGCCACTTTTTTTATAGGTTGACATAAGCTGATGCTTTATGCCACTGTGTGACAGCCTCTTTAGTAATCTCTTTGAGTAATCTCAGTAATTAGTTGTTAGACTAATTACTAATTAACTAATTAGCTAATTGGCTAATTAGCTAATTAACTAATTACTAATTAATTAATTATCTAATTACTAATTATTAATTAATTGTATAGTAATTTTGTTTGGAATATATTATGGGGACAAGGGGCAGATATTATAAAAACTCATTCTTCTTCTGCTGCCATTCATTTTATTTCTGTGATTGTATATCTTTTTTCTTTTCTTTTCTTTAAATTGTATTATATTTGTTGTTTGGATGAAATGAAATGAATAAATAAAACATACATACATACATACATACATACATACATTAGTCTCGATCACAGACACTGTCAGTGTTACTGAAACTGTATCTCATTCATATCGTTGAAAAATGGAGACAACATAAACATCAACAAATATATCTTAACACAAGAAAAGGAACTGAGAAAATTATAAGGCTTTTGACTTTTTGCTTTAACAAAGAAAATATAGAGCAAACTGCATTTTTAATGACAGAACAACCACAGTGAAATATAACAGATTGTGTACAGCGGCGAACACACCCCTGAGGAGTGAAGAGCGGCGCAGAGAGTTCGCAGGCTTCACAAACGAAGGACCAACACTTCAACTTGATTAAATAAACATGATTTACTCAAGGTAATAGACCAGGACGTAATGTGCAGCACGGCCACTGTGCAAAGACAAATAAATACAAATGACACAAGATGAAACAACTCACAGATTGAAACATGAATGATTTAACGGAGTGAAAGTAAAGAAGGCACTGCGGTGAACGTTAGCTTTAAAAACAATGCTGGTAAAGCTCTTCCATTCCATCAAGGAAATAGCTGAAAGTGAGTTTTAGTGTGAAACTCTTTGATCGGTCAGTAAAACCAGGAAAGTGCTATTCATGATTTTGTCCTTATGTCATTAACTCTCAGTTCTGAGCAGGGTGAAGATTTCAGCAACTTTTATCCAGTCACTCTGGCACCTGTTAATTAAAGAAAAGAAAAAGACTAAAGACAAAAACATTCTATTATGGTGTTTATTTATATTAGAACTTCTTTTCCTTCTTTCAGCTGCTCCCTTCTTCAGGTGTCGCCACAGTGAACTAACTCACACAAAGATTTATGTTAGAAACATAATATGATTTATGAAAACTGGATTTTGTTTTTGGAGTTGGTGGAAATCTGGATTGTCGACAAATTCGGAAATGTCAGCAGCTGTTTAAGCTGTTTGGAAAGTGTGTGCCGGGGTTGGCAACACTCAGACTCTGTGCGAGCTATCTGTGGACCTGTATCAGAGCTGAGCAGGCAGAACTGTGGAACTTTGTGGCAGAGTTCATGGACGGTTGGAAGGAATAGATCTTGGAGAAGTTGTAAGGCTGACTTGGACTTAAATAATCACAATTGGGCTGTTAGGAGTCGGCATGAGATGTACTAGCGAGACTGTAAAAGGCAGACGCGAAAATTAAAGATCTCGGCCTGACCCAAAACAATGTTGAAATCTGGCTCTGGCCTTGGAAGGCTGACTATCTCAATTTTTCCTTTGATGATATGGAAATAAGATGCTCTGATACCCTCCTCACACTAGGGAGGCTGTGGCTGAGTGGTTAGAGCAGCCGTCCTCCAATGCAAGAGTTGGGGGTTCGAATCCAGCAGCAGTCACATGCCAAAGTGTCCCTGGGCAAGACACTGAACCCCTCATTGCTTCTGATGTGTGTCCCATCAGTGTATGAATGTGATAAAGCTCTGGTTAGTCTCTTTAGAATTATTTGTTCAATTAGCTTTGTATAGATCTAGTAGAGTGCTGTATGAATGGGTAAATGAGGCATAGATTGTAGTGTAAAGTGCTTTGAGTATCTTGATCAGATAGAAAGGCACTATATAAGTACAGTCCATTTACCATTTACCCCTTCCCCAAGGACGTGGAACAGTGTCAGAGCTCAGCCAAGCTGGCTGATAAACAAACACCTCTTATCAGGACTATGACTCTGGGCTCTGGACTGTGCTGTGCTACGACTTCCCCTCAAACTCATGCCATCGCCAGCTTTCCTCATTGCCTCCACTGGTGCAGCAACCTAGGAGATGCTAAGGTTGCCAAAGGGCTGTGTTGCTCACCTTGCAGCCGTGCTGGGACCCCCACCCCCTACCCATGCCACACACATACCTTTATGCGTTATGTCTATTTATGTGCTTTTTATGTTGCACTGAGGTCATTTTTTTGCAACTTTCATACTGTGTTCCGTAGAACACAACGCGAGATTTGATTTTTTTTACACCTACCCTCCCCACTCATGCTTGTTTTGCCTTTTCTGAAAACAAGGCTGCGCCTCCAGAGGTGGCGGCCTCAGTCGCCTCCGTCTCCCCATGTTAGTTGTTGTTTATGCTGTTCTCTTGGACGGGCTGTACTGACAATGCAATTTTGTTGTGCTTCGGTGCTATGACAATAAAGCTGATTCTGATTCTGACTTGGCAATTTGTTTTTGTGTCAGATGTCCTTCCTTACACAACCACAGACCACCGAGCTACCACAGCCCTCTGTGTGGAGCAGAGAGCTGCTATCTAGGGCACCCAGGGAAGCAGATGGTGGGGGTTACGGACCATGCTCAAGGACTCAGAGTGGAGCAAATGAGGGTGGAGACAGATGTGGGTGCTTCACCTTTCCCACCCACATTTGAATGTTGTTGGTCCGGGGAGTCAAACTGGTGACCTTCCGTTCAAAGGCCCACCTTCTCTAACCTCTGCGCCACCGCTCCCCCATTTAACAGAACACTGTTTATAAATCGTGTCCACATAATTTATTTTTGACAAACGACAGTGTCAACCCGTAAAAAACAGGAATGAAATCTAAACTTTACCCTATTTTGTTTCATTTGAATGGAACAAAGTTCAGTCAGATCATCTGGATGGTTTCTTTTTTGTTGAGACGTTTCATCCTTCATCCAAAAGGACTTCATCAGTTCGAGGAGCCACAAACAAACTCAGTCCCACAAGCAGCACACTCCATTAGTGGACCAAACAATTTGCTGGTGATAAGATGGTTTCTGGGGCCAACCCTCTCCCCCATCAACTCCTCTGAGGCACATATTTCAATATGTGCATGGGCTTTGTTGTTTTGAACAACTTTGACTATGGCTGCCTGAGAGGAGTTGACGGGGGAGAGGGCGGACCCCAGAAACCATCTTATCACCATCAAACTAGTTGGTCCACTATGGGAGTGTGCTGCTTGTGGGATTGAGTTTGTTTGTGACTCCTCAGACTGAAGAAGTCCTTTGGATGAAGGATGAAACATCTCAACACAAAAAATAAAAAGAAAAGAAAAGAAACCGTCCAGATGACCTGACTGAACCTTGTTGAATTTTTTTACCTGGATTACTGAGCATGGACTTTAGTGTTTATATAAAATTTGTAATGGGCAAAAACTGATCACAAGAAAATAAAAATCTCAAGAGAATCCTTTTCAGCTGATACTGACCAGATTCACTGACAGCCACCTTTGATTTTATGTTTAGTTGTAACTAGCTCGTTCATTGATAAAATCAGGAGAAGGGGCCTCCATTTAGTTCTTACAATACAAGAACAATAAACAAATCATACAACAGCCGTTAAACTGGAAATATGTTTTTTAACGTTGATGTTATGTTTAGATATAAAACTGACAGGAAATGGATTTAGATGTTAGTTACCTGCATCATCCTCACATGTTTGTCTTTTTCTGATGTTTTTTTATGTTTGCTTCCTGTTTCTTGACTCAAGTCTGAGATGCTGCTGCAGCACCAGTCCAACCCGTGTATCGTAGACAATGCTGGGAAAACTCCTTTGGACCTGGCATGTGAATTTGGCAGAGTTGGGGTAAGAGCTTAAGCGTGTTGCTGAAAACAACGTCAGCAAGTTGATGTGTCAGTGTTGCTGATGTTCTCCTCGTGTGTGCAGGTGGTCCAGTTGCTGCTCTCGAGCAACATGTGCGCTGCTTTGCTGGAACCTAAAAAGGGAGACACAGCCGACCCGAATGGGACGTCTCCGCTCCACCTGGCTGCCAAGAATGGACACATAGACATCATCAGGTGCGCGTTCATCACATGCACACATTTCCAGGCACTATTAGTTGAATTGTCCTTCATGATATGACTACAGATCCACACTGTGCTCCATTTTTGTTTCCCTAAAGGTATAATAATCTCATCCCAACAGGGAAATAATCTTATTTTTGGTTCTGTTTTTGCTAAAAATCCATTACAGCACTGTTGCCATGGAGACGTGAACAATAAACAAAACGCTTCAAGTTAAAATATCCCAGCTGAGTTATGTTAGGCTGCAGTTAAACACACAGAAAAGCCAGCTTTTATCACTCTGCCACAGTGAAACATGAGAGGGGAAATGAAAGAGAGTAGGAGGAGGGAAAGATGAGAAAACAGGAAGGAGAAGATGAAGAAGACGGAGAGGCAGATTAAAGTCTGTCAGAGCTGATCGAGCAGAACGTGCCTCTCAAGAAGTGACACTGATAAATGATGCTCACTAGCTGTGGCTTACAGTCTGTGGATCTCTCTCTCTCTCTCTCACACACACACACACACACACACACACACACACACACACACACACAC